ATCAGTAGTACCTATATATGTAATATCAAAGCAATTGCACTTGCGGTTTTTACAGAAGTCGAAAATATTACTTTTTACCAAAAATGACAAAAATATTCACCAAAATTAGAGAATGAAAGATATCAACATGAAATGAACAAATCTAAGAGAGGTCTACCCAAGGTACATATACACCAAGTATCAAAGCATTCAGGCTTGTAGTTTTCAAGAAGAAGTCGAAAAAGTAAAACATTGACACGGACGACGACGACGGACAATCACTCATATGATAAGCTCCGCTCGACAAAGTCGACAGCGGAGCTAAAAAGTTAGAAGCAACTCCTGTGTATTAGAGTATTGAAGACAGATTTAAAATTAATTTTAAATTTAAGATTAGCCTTTCAAACAAGGACCTTGGTGACAAATATTGTTCTGCTATTCAAGATGCACAACAAGAAAACAATGTGATCCTCAGTGTTGAAGGAAAATAAATTTGATTGTACACCTGTGGTGTTTAACTTTATTGTATTATGAACAATATCCCAATTAAGGATAAGTTTATCAATAAAGATTATTATTATTACCACTAGTAGACACATTGTGACTTATACTGATGTAATTAAAACAGCATTTTTCTAATATGACTGCATACATGTATAATTTTTAATACTCTAAACTTGGTATAGGGAATTAATTAATTGCTTCTCTAAAATCTTCATCAGATTTGTAAATCTTAAGTGTAAGAAACAATTTCAAATTTGTCTCTCCATAAAGGATTATGCAAATGAGTATGTAGTCTGTATGCAAATATTCTGCAGGCAGCATGCGGGCAGTATACAGGAAGCGTGCGGGCAGTATCCAGGGGGCAGGTGGGCAGTATGCAGGAAGCGTGCGGGCAGTATCCAGGGGGCAGGTGGGCAGTATGCAGGAAGCGTGTGGGCAGTATGCAGGTGGGCAGTATGCAGGAAGCAGGTGGGCAGTATGTAGGAAGCGTGCGGGCAGTATCCAGGGGGCAGGTGGGCAGTATGCAGGAAGCATGCGGGCAGTATCCAGGGGGCAGGTGGGCAGTATGCAGGAAGCGTGTGGGCAGTATGCAGGAAGAGTGCGGGCAGTATGCAGGAAGCTTGCAGGCAGTATCCACAGAGCAGGTGGGCAGTATGCAGGAAGAGTGCGGGCAGTATGCAGGAAGAGTGCGGGCAGTATCCAGGGGGCAGGTGGGCAGTATGCAGGAAGCGTGCGGGCAGTATGCAGGAAGAGTGCGGGCAGTATGCAGGAAGAGTGCGGGCAGTATCTAGGGGGCAGGCGGGCAGTATGCAGGGAGCTTGCGGGCAGTATGCAGGAAGAGTGCGGGCAGTATACAGGAAGAGTGCGGGCAGTATCCAGGGGGCAGGTGGGCAGTATGCAGGGAGCTTGCGGGCAGTATGCAGGAAGAGTGCGGGCAGTATGCAGGAAGAGTGCGGGCAGTATGCAGGAAGAGTGCGGGCAGTATGCAGGAAGAGTGCGGGCAGTATGCAGGGAGCAGGTGGGCAGTATGCAGGAAGCGTGCGGGCAGTATGCAGGAAGCTTGCGGGCAGTATGCAGGGAGCAGGCGGGCAGTATGCAGGGAGCAGGTGGGCAGTATGCAGGAAGCTTGCGGGCAGTATGCAGGAAGCTTGCGGGCAGTATGCAGGGAGCGTGCGGGCAGTATGCAGGGAGCGTGCAGGCAGTATGCAGGGAGCGTGCGGGCAGTATGCAGGGAGCGTGCGGGCAGTATGCAGGGAGCAGGCGGGCAGTATGCAGGAAGCATGCGGGCAGTATCCAGGGAGCAGGTGGGCAGTTTGTAGGAAGCATGCGGGCAGTATGCAGGAAGCTTGCGGGCAGTATTCAGGGAGCAGGCGGGCAGTATGCAGGAAGCGTGTGGGCAGTATACAGGGAGGCTGCGGGCAGTATGCAGGGAGTGTGTGGGCAGTATGCAGGGAGCATGCGGGCAGTATGCAGGCAGCTTGCAGGGCAGTATGCAGGGCGTGTATGGGCAGTTTGTAGGGAACCTGTGGGCAGTTTGCAGGGGGTGTGTGGGCGTGCGAGTGTGAATACGTAGTGAATGTGCAGTGAGCATGCATGAAACTTTGCACTTCGAATACGCACTCGCTGCATATACGCTGATATTCACAATACAGACTCACACACTGTGCGGCATGCTTGTCTTTTAGTCATGAAAATCTAGTCCATAAAGTTCAACAGACTGTATCTGCACAACTACATTGTATGAGGCACATACAAATTCTCAAACCCGGATTCAAAGATAATGATCTTATAAAGCAACAGCGAAAAAATTGATCACATAGAAAAAACAAACAAAAAACACCCAATCCCGCATAAAAACCCTTGAGCAAATAGTAACATGAAAATATCTCCTATTTCTGAAATCGTATACATTGCCATGCTGCATGCTCAACAATGGGGAAAGTCTTAATCACAATTAAACCATAAACTTTAGAAACGGTCTATTATTAAACTATTAGTCGTTTTTACCTTCTCACTACAATGAAATGTGATATTTATGCAAATTAGGTAATTAGAGTGCTCAAATTTCAATCAACAATTACCGGTAATCAGGTTTTTAGCTTAGTCTCAAAGCTCTTCAATACTAAGTAATATTACCTGACATTGGTAGCTCCATGCACTGTGTACCACAACCATTATGACAGCATTTCATGTTACCATAGCAATTAGCATCAGATGTACACTGCTGAGCACATGTTCCTAATTCACCACTAGGTACCGGACAATGACCATCTTTCACTGAACAGAAAATGCCGGTAAATATATAAACCATTTATTAATCACAGTGATTGAGATACTCCTTTGCCAATTGAATTATTTGAGATTTTATAGTTTCTTAGCATTCACAAGATTGAATTTGATCCTAGTTCTAGTATTAAAGTTGAATTCTGAGATCATTACTGTAGTTTTATTGCGAATATTATGGGACATACTTGATGGTCTGAATATGCTTGCATTTTGGAAAAAAGTGAGGATTCTCCATAAGTCTGTTTTCTTTTGAATTACTGTAAAATACAGTAATTTGGAACAGAAATGAATCTCTGAATCCTCACATAATGGAACAAAATTGTAAGCAAAGAAAATTAAAACAATCCAATGGAAAGCTGAAAATATTGCCAGAATTTAAATGTACTGACAAGGAATTGAAATTTGAATGTTTATTATTCATCTCTAGAAATTCACACCATTCACACCAAATACCATCATGAGAAGTTTTAACTACCGCGGTACATGTGTATAAACACAGAGATGTTTACTCCGTTCATATGGCAACATTTAATTGAAGCCAAACTATTGCTCGATCCTCTCAAAAATTAACAGGAGAATATCGGTATCTCTTGTGCATTTATACATGTGTTTATACAGATCGAACAAAAGTCAAATTTAGCCTGATTCATTCAGAGCCAAATGGAAAAGATCACTTGAGAATTAAATATATATTTAGAATCTGGGCGACATTGACCCAATGACCAAGACAGAATTTTGGATTTGTTATGAAAGAACCTACATTCCTAGAGTAAGAAAGTAAAAATACAGTAAACAATTTGTGTCAATCACTACCAACACCACTTATTTTCACGATTGAAGAGGTAGTAATTAGTTCATCTCCAGTGTCCATACAGAAATTACAAACGATATTGCCTCCTGAGATGCTATAATTTGAATACAACTCAATTTGAATACGGTGATAAAGGGCATGATTTCAGTTTTATGCATTCACGTGGTTAGGGCCATGTCGGGCCTATCTGAACTCAAGACGAACACATTTGCACAGTATTTTTGCTGATTTGGGGCACTGGGCTCAGATAAAACGCTGTTGTGGTCGTGTAAACAATGTAGTTGTTTATGTGCAATTGACAATGTACACAGCTGAAATTTTAATTTATGTAATTCATGAAAAGCAATAATGAAAAATACCATGGCAACAAAAATATGAAAAGAGAATTCTCATATCAAATTTGATATCAAGAATACAAATACAAAATAAGTTTGTTATTAATTATTAATAATTAGATAGTTTAAATATGAATTTTCCATTTACAATATTTAATTTACTGTCATTGTTTGATAATGCAACAATTAAATTCATTTCACGAAGAATGAGATTTTAAAAATTTGGTCCTGCCACTATTAATCACTCAGACTGGAAAATAATGAGTGTCACAGATTGGGAAATATTGTCTCCTCATCAAACGCGAGTAATGAGATATATGATAAGTTTGATTGAGATGTAGGTATGCTATATTTTCCTTACGATTCTTAATTTTTTTTGGGAAACCATAAACAATTGTTTTGAGAAAGGAAGAGAAGGAGGGGGGGGACAAAGGAGGACAGGGAGAGGTGAAAATAGAGGGGGTATATTCAACCATGGAAATAATAAGATTATAACTTCCATGATTCAACATATTAAATAAGATCTGAAAATATAACAAAGTAATAGATAAATGTTGATTTACACACACGTTATCAGCTTAGTGACATTTGCTACATTCACACGGCAGCATTCTATCAGAGCCGAATTACTGCTCCTCCCACCAATTAACAGGAGATTATCTCCAATGCATTTACACGGTCAGGGGTTGAACGAGAGCCGAGATCTGCCAGAGTTCAATTCAGTTCGATCAGAGCAGAATGGAACAGTGCCCTCAAAATAATTAGTACAAAAAAAACATGGCATTTTGGTGTTGTGCTTGCAGAAAAAAAGTAACAGTCACAAGTCCGAGTATGGAGGTAGAAAAAACAATGCACCAGTGTTATGATTTATAGGTATTAGTATCTGGAATAAACAAAAAACACGGCAGCTACAATATGCTACTACCTATTAGCTGAAGTTATTGTTATGCAAAGTTACCATTTTGTAATTGTTCAACTGTTGTGATATGTGTAACAGTTGTCAATCTAAACCTACTAGGAACACGTCACCGTACCGTGATCGCTTCTACGATTTTTATCTTCGGTGTTTTTAAAAAGTTTCTTCAGTTTCCATTGGATCTTTTCAGTCGTTATTTCAATTTTTCTTCGCATAATTTCGTACATAAGTTTCCCAATGAGCTATTAATCTATCGCAGTATTTCTTTATTCTGCCAAACAGATATTCGGGCGTGTACGTCAAGCCAGAAATTGCATGAAATTATGAACGATGTAGTCTCCACCATAATTGAAATGAGAGGATACATGAAGAAGACAATTGAGGGCTTGATTTGAGCTCTGATAGTTGGGCTCTGAGGTTGCGTATACACGATCTGGGCCATGTTGGGTCTCAACTTTATAGAACTTGACTCGAGCTGGCTCGAGTCGAACGTGTATACACAGCCATTTTTGCTTGCTAGAGCCGGCTTGAACCGTAGGTCACCGATAAAATGCTGGCATGTGAAGGTAGCAATTTTTATCCAGAGTGGAATATTTTGTTGAAGAAAAACTGTCTGAAAAGAATTTGCTTTTCTGGAAACTATAGGAATGTTTCAGAAAAATAATTAATATTCATTAAGATTTCTCAATAATTCAGTAAAAACATGTGTACACATCTTATAACTAAAAGTGCCGCAAAAAAATTTTGAGATATGACAAAACTATTTATAGGAGCCAATGGTAAATGACTCAAAAATAGGTAAACTCATGAGTGTAAAGTAAAAATCAGTAAAAATCAAGGAAATCTGGAAATAAATGTAATTTAAGTTAATTAAAATCTGGAGCGAAGTATTTTTTAAAAACTAATCTTGGTCAATCTGTCAAATAATGATTACAATCTACACCATCTATATCATACAATGCTAATAACACACATTCAACAAAGTTTGTAACAGTCCTTCTCTAGATCATAGGTTACTGTATGTATGTATACCAAATACATTATTCACATCATGGTTTGTTTGTTTGTTCTGCATATACAAACAGCCATAGTTTTTAAGTTAACAAGGCAAAAACAATGACCACATGGTTTCAACTTATTATTTTATTACAATAAATCTGCTAAATCTTCAATGGTTAGAACTCATCTAGAAAACATAAAAAGAAACAAGAGTTAGATTTATTGATTGAATACTATGGCAGGAAATTGGGCAAATTTCCCACAATTTCTCTACGGATTTCATATAGATGTGACATGATTTTTTAAAAAGTGTTTAGTGCTTATTTTGGGTCAATGAGTTCAACCACCTTACATTGACATAACAAGTTTGTTTCAACTTTTCAACAACAAGACACATTATCTGTTTTTGAAATTGAAGTTTGACATATGTAATTTACCTTTTTGAGGTTCCATACAGTCATGCCCACAGCCATTGGAACAGCATTTTTGTTTGCCGGAGCAATCATCATCTTCTAGGCAGTTTTCAGAGCAGATACCAAACATTCCAGACATATTGGGACAAGAGCCACTTTTTACACCTATAGAAGTGCATGGAAACAGCATGACATGTCTCATGAGAAATACTTATTAAATTTATATACCGTAATAAACATTATTAACTACTCTGAGGGCAAAAAAATAAAATATGTTATGCATACAAGGTACAATGTCTTTAGCAGTTCACACAGCTACAAGTATGATAGAAGTACATTTTGTAAACAACAAGACATAAATTTCACAATCCCAGTTATTTAATTATAAAACATCTGCAAACAAATGAATTAATATGTACTCTATGTGGGTGCAACTCATCATGAAGTGATAACTGAAAACTTTCAGTGATCCCGGTCCAAAATCTTAGAGTACACAAGTGCAACCAAACTATGTCTCATAAATGCTCAAGAAACTACATTTATAAATTTGAGTAAACCTTGATAACCTTTAATAACAACTTGACTTCTTTGTTAATTCAGGTCTTTGTATATTACCAGGACCTGGGTTGTTTCACTATCACCATATAATTCCCATCAAAATGTAGCCCTAACACCCCTCAACATTTTCCACTGAGATTGGTAATGGTACGACCCATCTGTCACTGATTCAGATCAAGGTCATAGCCTGTCATGACATCACTAAAAACAAAAGCATTACAATCTAAGCTAATTATTTATTTATTCTAAGCATGC